ATCAGAGAGTCCTCGCGACGTTGCAGCACCGCCGACCGCGTAAACAACTCCAGCCTGTGTCTCATCGAAGAAAGTCCGATTTGCAACGACCCCTGGAGAGGAGAGAGTGAAGAGAGAGACTAGGGATTTTGAAAATGGTATTGGGATGAGTTTGGAATTGAATTGGGATAGGTTAATATATTTTATTATTAATAATCAAATCCATACCTGAATATTGAATAAAAAACTTTCCCGTCTGATTTTTGCACTATGATCTTCAAATATCAGGAATTTCGTAATTTCCACTTCTAACAACAAGTGATTTTAGGAGGTATTGAGATGGAATCGTATTGTGCAAGAATTGCGTCTATTATTGAGTTATAGTTTGTTTTTATTTTCTAAAATTTCTCAAATTTATTTCAAATCACACCATCTATGAAATATACCACCACACATTTCATTAATTTTATTATTTTTTTATTTTTTTATCAAAATCTACTAAAAATTTGAATTTAATCTAAATCAAATGAGACTAAAGTAGCTGATGTAAGAATTGTATGTTAATAGAGTAATTGTCAACTTCGTGCCTCGACATATGTAGTTAAAACATTGCACATTATGAGTCCCAATTATATAGGTTTTAATTTTTTGTCCCAATTATATAGTTCCTTTTCTTTATTGAGAATGTTTTATTTTGTTTTTTTCACTAATACGCCCCTATTCAATTTGCATAATTATAATTAATTTCTTCCACTTAATATTGAAATTATACAGACTAGGGATATTTTTGACAACAATTGTTTTTCCTGTGGTCTTGGGGCTTGGCTTAGCTGGTACACAAGGTGGCGGAACTGCTCAAACCTCGAGTCGTGGAATCGCTGGAAAATCATTTTGCTAGGAACCTTATTTTGTTTGTGTTAGAGAGATGAGGTGTTTATCGGAGGGCAGCCAGCTTTATAAGAGAAGAAGGCAGCTGTTAGCGGTGCACATGGAGCTGACTTGTTAGAAGATTATTGGTGGGTCTCTAGTTTCTTGGCAGCTCAGCTAACTATAAAAATACACGAAATTATTCTCCTAAGAACCTTGATTATGATTATTAATCTCTCAATTAGTTAAAAGAATGAAATTAGCTGATATGATAAGAATACTAGATAATATAAATATCGTTACGAGAAAAGTCGAGAGAATTATAATTAAAGTTCTCTTACCACATCAATAATAGAAAACTTTATAGCGTCCACAGGATCAAGCCACTAAGAATATCCAAATTTCACGGATACTCGCACTTCTCTAACTGTATAATTTATTCTGCATGAGCACCGTTCCAACAGGGTAGACGTAAATTTCAACCAAAGCCATTTTTGATTCCCTGAGCAAAAATAATCGAAACTCTTGATATAGCAAGATTAAAGATTTAGGAAGCCGTCTATCCCAAAGCTCAACCATCAATGTTTCAGCATAATTTCCAAGTTCACTAAAATGTTTGATCAGACACGTGTTACGTCGACACAACTAAGGTTGGGAACGGCGTTTCAATTTGGCTTATGCTGTAAGGATGGAAAGATAGCTCAAAGAGCTTTTCATGGCTTCACCCGTAATGTGTTAGAATGGATTCAAAACCAAACCAAATGGGCATACCAATCTTCTATATACCGTTAAGCTTTCGAAATAGACATGAACACATCTTGCTGCCATGATGGAAAAAAAAAGGTTCAAAAGCCAAGAACCCGACTCATAATTCTATCTATACTAAATAATCCATGTTTACTCAGAATCTTTATCAACAACAATGCCTAATCCTAATTTCTTTACAATATGTAAGATGTAGCTCAAAGTGGAAAACTAAGGATAGTGAAAACTGAATTCTTGTAAAGATCGATGCAACTGACTTTCAAATCTCGTAAAGATGTTGCGTATCAAACCTGAAGTTGTTGAAGACCTATAAGTTAAATACTGGTTAGTGAGTTCGACCAAAAGAAATTCTGGAATTGGACTGGCGTATTGGATTCTAACAATCAGGTCATTTGGTAGAATTCTGACAAATTTCAGTATTACTAATAAATATTGACACGAAGTAAATGGCCAAGGGATTTTCGAAAGCAACTTAGGGTAGTGATGCTGTGTCACATTGAAATTCTAAGCAACGCATACTCTATCTTTGATGAGATTCAAACTCGATGTCAGCGCCATGGCGGCATTCATCTTCAAGTGCCAAATTCAACATCTCCGTACAGAACTGCTCATCTGGTTTGAGCCACAAAGCCTGTTAAAATGAATAGAATCAATGTGAATACATGGTCGAAAATAATCAAAATAAATAATTTTCCAGCGCTGCAACGTGTGTTACTATCAGGGGAGGGAAAAAAAACTTGGTAAACCGCGAAAACATTGTAAACAATAACAGGATGCCTAAAATCTAGTAAGCCAGCTCTAAAAAATTTCAACAATAACTTACTTTGTGATAGTATGTAATTGCTGAAGTGAAGTCATCCTGTAAAAACAAAATTTTATAATGTAAGATTTTCATCATTTATTTGCAGAGAATAGTACTCAAATAGAAATATTGCAGAAATAATCACCTGCAAATGATAAGTGTATGCAAGTCCTGCGTAGGTACTCGAACTTCTTGTTGATAAAGCAAGAGCTTTCTCATAGTATACAATTGCCTCATTGTACCTCCTGATATTAAATAGTGATTGATATTAACTGCAACAGAACATGTAGCTTTCTATTTTGAATCTAATAACACAATTAAATTATGACTATGACTACAAACAAAAAATAAAAATAAAAATAAAAAGAAATATTAATGACAACACACTATATATATTCCAATTCTATAATTTTTTGAAAGCTAAAAATTATAAGTCACGAACAGTTCTACATCTCCATAACAAGAAAGAGTACATAATGATAGACTTGATCTTATGATTTCACTGCACTTTCAACCTGAACCAAACTGATTAGTGAGCCACATGCTAATGGAACAATAGAATTTACAAGTACATCATGAGACTAATACACATCAAACGGGTTCCATCCATCCAAGGAGACAACTTATTAGTTTTTCAAGCTAATCAAAAATCAAATGTTTAAATGGAAGCCAAATAACAAAATATTTTCCCTCAACTTGTAGGAGTTTTGTTACTGTAATGCATTCAATCTCATTCTTATTCCTTCAAGGTTGTGAAACCCGTAATAGTTTTTTGTTTTGGAAAATTTAGTGTAAATATGCCATCCATCAAAAAATGAGTCAGTAATCTGAGCAATAACTACTTGCATTTTACCCAACCAAGAGCAGTTCTAACTCAATACATCACTGGTTGAGAAAGAAAAAATAGATGATGAGGAACCCATTTCACATCGTTGAGTTTTCATGGTTAAAATTGAGAGCAGCTGGTGGAAGCATAAAAAGAATATACATACCTTAATTTCCTCAATGCATGAGCAAGATTGACTACAGTTGGCTCCCACATCTCACTTACAGAGGATGGTATGCGAGCCAATGTCTTCTCAAACCACAGTACAGCTTCCTTGTACCTGAAAGATTTTAAGAAAACAATCATGCTGATTATAATAGCTTCAAAAGTACGTATAAAAATACTTAGTTTACCAAATACGATCGCATGAGCAGGGATGTATACATTGTGTTACTTGTATAGCAATATATAATTGCAAAAAATAAAAAATCAGAAATTGTCAGAAACATGTAATTAGAATGTATAACCAAAAAAAGTAATATTTTATTTTTCTCCATTTCTCATATAGGCAAAGTAACGACCCTTTCAAATGAACCTTACTCAAAAGGACCTGGGGTTTTCAAAGAACCTTCCATCTAAAACTGCATCATTAAAAAAATTTACATGCTACATCTCTGAGAACTTGACAGTGTTGATGTTCCCACAGGTATTCATTGATTTCATCAGTTACTAAAGATAGAAAGACCTAGAACTATGCAACTATATTCAAAAAGCCTTCATTTACTCCACATTCTTCTCATTTTCTAAGTTTAATATCTCTGGAAAGTGGAACAGGTACAAATGACGTCTAAAAATCCCATTAGAATGCAGTTCAAGGCCAATGTGATGCTCCTTGGTCAGATGACCTAAGTACTGGTGAACTACAATGTTTAGAAAACAGCAACTATAATCACGAAGTAAATTTCATAGATTTCTTGTTGTCTTGAATAGCTGTAAATAGATTTATATCAAGTATAGTTAGTTGGACAAACTGGTAGGAAACGTTAGTGGACATGTCCAAACTGTATCCCAGCACACTAGCTATATCCACTAATGCTTCCTGTTGGTCAAAATGTATAAGAAGCAAATGAAATTAGAAAAATGAAACAAAGTTAACACGACCAAACTGATAGGAACCTGTTGCTGCCAATGATCTGTTGGACCTTGGAAGTTGCTGATCAACTAGAAGACTAGAAAAATGTATGATTATGAAATGTAGAAGGCAGATTATTGTAGAACAATAGATTTGGGCTGGAATGTATTGAACATAATTTTGTATTGATAGAGTAACAAAATTGAAATGACAATTCCAGGCCACTCGAGATGCCTTGGTTCTTTCCACTCTTATCTCAACTATACTCAATGAGTAATTCCCAGATCCTCCCTCTTCACATTTATAGACCTTCACTCTAAAGCATATTACTTATTTCTCCCTCTAGTAACTGATTAGTGAACATTATAGAATAGTAGCTGACATGGCTGCAACTATATTGGTATTGCTAAAACGGACTGGAGTCTATCATTACTTGTCGCCCCCAAAACCTTGTCCTCAGGGTGGAAGTTGTTGGATTGATCAATTCATCATGCAACCACACCATTTTCCTTGCAAACACTCCTATCATGGTCCCCACAGAAAAGGAACATTTCAACCCTTTGAAATGGACGGGCTTACTTAATCGAGCAATTATCACAAGTATAATATCCAAGGCAACTCCATAGCTCATTGGCCCTATCCACAAATTGTCCCATTTTTGAATTGCCTGTTCTCCCCAATCGGAATAGGTAGGTTAATTCCTTGGACCCCTTTTCACTACCACTATTGAATGCCTTACTGTGGATGCTATAGATTTTTGAATTGAGGTGGGTGTCTGGTGGATAGAGTAAATTGTCTGAGATAATTGTAGTGAGGGTTGGGATTTAAATTTGGGTTCAATTGATTAAAGAAGCCGTGTCTGAGAGGACTAATGCGTGAAGGTTGGGCTATGGATATTACTTCTAATTCTATATGGATTTAGGTTTGGGTTATAAGTATTAAGTCTAGGTGGGCCATAATTGAGATAGGCTTGCTTCCTTATATTCCAGTCTTTAACACCTTGGTCCAACACCTTAATTTGGCCCGATCCTTTAGGGTTCAACATTTTAACCTCAGCCCCTATCATGGGTTTCAACCCACTCACCAAATCACGCTCTAACCCCTCTTCCAATCGACATGGGAGTTGCTATGATTCGAATAGCCTCTGGTCCTCCCTGCATTTCTAGTAGCCTGTTGTAGCTTTGATTTCCTCATATTTGGTTGGAGTTTCAGAGGTAAGGGTTAGTAAGGCAAAGTGGCTTCCGCCACCTTTTCGTCTCTCTTCCTTTGCTCCACCAACGATGATTTCTTCACCTCCATCGGTTTTTTTCCGTAGGCTTTTGCTCATGGAACATTCTCCCCTCTGTCCTCTTCCCAATCTCATGGGCCTGGAGCTTTTCATCAGTATTTATAGGCGGCAATTCTATTACCACAATATCTCCTTTCCTCATATCCGACTGTTTACATGCTGGAAATTCCTCAACCACAGAGACCTCCTTCCTACAAAATTGATCCCGCATCAAACACTTCAATTCATCCCAAGTTCGCAAAGGCCAACGTCGATCTATCTACTGGAATCAATCCCATGCTTCACCGTCAAAACACAATGTAGAAGCCTCTATCTTACCTGCTTCCGATAACTGGTTTTTAGAGAAAATCTCCTCAGCTCTAGACAACCACCACTCCGTATTATCGCCGTAGAAGATGGAGATTATGAGTCACCCATGTGAATCCAATCCTAACTCCTCTTCTCGTTCTCCCTCTTCCAATCGCCTTATCATCTTTTCCAATCAATTCATTATCAAGCCCCAAATCTCTTCCATTTCCTTGCTGAAATATGTTGCCATTGCCCTGAGATAGATGCTCTGATACAACTTGATGGGAACTTGTTGCTGCCGATAATCTACTGGACCTTGGAAGTTGCTGGTCAACTAGAAGACTAGAAAAATGTATGATTATGAAATGTAGAAGGCATATTATTGTAGAACAATGGATTTGAGCTTGAATGTATTGAATATAATTTTGTATTGATAAACTAACAGAAATGAAATGACAATTCCAAGCTATTCGAGATGCCTTGGTTCTCTCCACTCTTTTCTCAACTAATCACTCAATGAGTAATTTCCAGATCCCCCCTCTTCACATTTATAGACCTTTCCTCTATAGCACTATTACTTATTTCTCCCTCTACTAACTGACTGGTGAACATTCTAGAATAGTAGCTGAGTGGCTGCAACTATGTTGGTATTGCTGAACCGGATTGGGGTCTATCACAAACATAACTAAAACTTTTCACAGAATATTAGCTCCGAAGCTTTCATATATTACTGAAATACAAGCTCTGACTTTGAACAATATTAAAGCCTTAAAATTTGAAAATCAACAAGTGCAAACTAGCATATGCCTCAAGTCTTATCGCCTAAAGGTGCAAAATGCATGATTAGAATCTGACCCATTGGGAAACAATCAAATCAAGGATCTTTAGATCCTTTGTACAGTCAAAAGTTTATGAGAAAACAAACTTATTTGTAGAGGAAACGAACCAGTAGTCTACATATTTCATGAAAGGTGAAAATCTTACTCCTCCATGTGATATGCCACAGTTCCAAGTTCATTATATACAAGTGGGTCTGAAGGACATATAGTTTTTGCCTGCAAAAAAAACTGAAAGCAGAATCTAATTAAAACTATTGAAGATAGAACTAGCTAGTAAATGACTGAGAAAATAATACAGATACCTAAGTAACATAGGGAACAAAGAGATTTTAATAATTTCCACAAGTTTACAGCTAAAGTCAAAATCGTAAACCTGACAGGCAAATTCCAATTTTCAGAAAGTGATATTACCTGCTCAGCAAGTTTGAAGCTATGAGTTCGCATGTATTCCATTCCAATGTAAAGAGTAGGCAAATGGCATCTGAAACAAGAGAATATCAATAATCAAACAAGTAAAAGGAAATATATACCTCACAAGTAATAAAAATTTCGCACTTTAGGATTTTATTACTGCATTTAATAACTTTAAGAATCACTTATATGCATTACAGTTGAGATCTAGATCTGGAATTCATCCTACAATACAACAACGTCAAAAAGATCTAAATCAGACATAGTATCACAGCTCTCTATCAACCATACAATGTTAGTTAAGATTTACAACTTCAATAATGCTATTAATAACCACTAGTCGCTATCACGTGCGTTGCACGAATTTTGTATTTATTGTATTTTAATTAGTGTATGAATTTTAGTTTTTTGGAAAATTTTTGAAACAATATCTAAAAGTATTTCCATGATATAAGAAAATAATTGTAAATTATTTTTACAATTGCATAGCAGTATGTTATCTAGAAAAAATATGCTTGTATATTTCATACTTGAATAAGAAATATACAAACTTTTTTGCTTGTATTCTTTAATAGTATTGATATGATTGAATTAAATGTGGAGATTATATTTCTAAATTCTGTGTAATTCAATATTGTAAAATTGAAAAAAAAAACTCTCCGCACAGTGAGGAGTAAAAATAAAAAAAGGTGCAAAGAGAAAAAACCTCTCCGCACAGTGTGAAGAGAGTCGAACCATGTGTGGAGAGTTGGCAAACTCTTCGCACAACGAAGTATTAAAATTAAAAAAAAAAACTCTTCACACAGTGCGAAGAGATGACAAACCAACTCTCCGCACTGTGTGAAGAGAGTTAATCTCTTCACACAGTCCGGAGAATTGGTCCGCACCATGGAAACACTCTCCACACAGTGCGGAGAGAAAAAAACTCTCCGCACAATGCGTAGAGAGTTGAACCATGTGCAAAGTTATAAAAAGTGCAGAGAGAAAAAAAACCTCTCCACACAGTACGAAGAGAGTTGAACCATGTGTGGAGAGTTGGCAAACTCTTCACGCATTGCGGAGTAAAAAAAACTCTACGCACAATGCGGAGAGATGACAAACCAGCTCTCCGCACAGTACAGAGAGAAAAAAACTCTCCGTATAGTGCAGAGAGTTGTTTTCAAATTCCTTAATTATAAGTCAAATTTCAATATTGTAAATTTTTCGTATATACAACGAAACAGAGTCAAAAAACATGGCTCAAAATCAATTATGTCTTCTTTAAATTCCTATGTCTTCTTTAAATTCCAATCACAGCTCAATTTCTGGGTATGCAAATCATATTTACAGTATTGAAAATGAGCTTTCTCGTGATTCATACAACGAAACAATATGTGAGTTTTACAAAAAAGGGGATATTAATAGTACCATGCCATTGATTTCACAAATGGAGGCTCTAGGGTATCACCCAAATTCAATATTTTACACTTGCTTGATAACAGCTTTTGGCCATTAGAAGCGGATACAATTTTCAATGAAATTATACTTTCGGATTGTAGGGCAGGAATTAAAGTGTTCAATGCATTGCTCAAAAGTTGTTTCAAAAAAGACCTCTTAGAACTTGCAGATAAAGTTCCAGGAGTTTTTGTTTCTCTTTTCACACTGCGCGAAGAGATAGTTTGCCATCTCTCCACACTTTGCGGAGTCTTTTTTCTTTTTTTTTTTGCTCATGTGTGAAGAATTTTTTTTTTGTCTCATGGAGTTTATATATACTAAAATTATTATTATTTTTTTAACGTTGTTGGCATGATGCGTGTATGGAAGAATATTTGTCAATCACCATAAACAAAATTCTTCACAAAATGCAAAAAATAAAAATGCATAATAAATCTTCTTATTACGCTAATAAAATTACAATAAAAATTTTTTTACAAATAATATAAAAAAATTATTTTTATCTTCAACAAAAGAGCACATTTAAAAATTAACAATTTCATAACCACTTTTTTTTAATTCTCGAAAATACAATTATAAAAAAGGAAACAATATTGAATTACAACATTTAATACTTAAGAAATTCAATATTAAATAAATTTTATACATTTATAACAAATTATACATCTATATATGCAGCTTACCGTATTTGCAGGCAACTTACCGTATATACAGTCTACCATATTTGCAAACTTACCGTATATGCACCTTACCTTATTTACACCATACCGTATATGCTGCCTATCATATTTGCAACTTACCGTATTTTCAGCCTACCGTATTTGCAAACAACTTACCGTATTTTCACCTTATCGTATTTGCAGCTTATCGTATATGCTGCCTACCGTATTTGCAACTTATAGTATATGCTGCCTATCGTATTTACAACTTACTGTATTTTTATATACCGATTTTTGCAATTACAAATACCGAGATGCAGAACACCGTACATTCACTTACCAAACCGAATTTCAAAAAAAATTTCAGATTTTTATTTTTTCAACATAAGCATAAAATAAATATTAAATATATATGAAGCACAAAATATAAATGCATATAAATATGGTGCTCAATCTTCAATTTTTCAATATTGAATTACACAAAATTTAGAAATATAATATTCACATTCAACTATATCAACACTATCAAAGAATACAAGCAAAATAATTAATATAATCTTGTATATTTCTTATTCAAGTATGAAATATACAAGTATATTTTTTTTAGATGACACAATACTGTTATACAATTGTAAAATAATTTGCAATTATTTTCTTATATCATGGAAATATTTCTAGATATTGCTTCAAAAATTTTTCAAAAAACTAAAATCCACACACTAATAAAAATACGATAAATGTAAAATTCATGCAACGCACATGATAATCACTGTGCGGAAAGGTTTTTTTTTTTAACTTTTTTTTTTTTTTACCTTCACACTGCACGGAGAGTCCGCACTTTGTGAAAATTGTGCCCACACAGAATGTCATCTCTCCGCACTGTGCGGAGCGATTTTTTTTTTTAACTTCGCACTGTACGGAGGGTTTACCAACTCTCCGCACTATGCGGAGAGTTTTTTCTTTCTTTTTTACTCCGCATATGATTTGCCATCTCTCCGTACTATGCGGAGAGTTTATTTTTATTTTTTTTAAAGCTCATGTGCGAGGAGTTTTTTTTTTTTTCTCATGGGAGTTTATATTTACTAAAATTATTAATATTTTTTTAATGCTAGTGGAATAATGTGTGGAAGAATATTTGTTTAACATAAAAAAAATAGAAAATAAAAAATGACATTATCTATAGTAAAATTGGATTCATTTACTATTGCATGAATAGTATACCTTTCTTCCCTCCCCTTCTTATTAGAAGTTAGATATAGTTTCAATTGAGATGTTTATTATCATCATTCCTCTGTCTATAGAATTGAATCAATTATGATTCTCTACCTAACAAACTGAATTGAATCAATTATGATTCTCTACCTAACAAACTGAACCTTAAAGTCATCCAAAAACATCCTAGGTTGGATATCATTAACCTTTCTTGCATATTATGTTCACACTTTATTATGTAGAACAGAGTAGGCATAATTTATCCATCGCAATAAAGATGAGAAATAGGGGTACAACCTTCAGAATTTATTAGGAAAGTGCATGCAGAGAACAACCAAATCTCGTTATCTCAATTAAAACCACAAAACTCCTAGAGAGACTGCAGTCGTATCAATGCAGAATTGAGGTGAAAATTTTACCCAGGAAATAAACGAGAAGCAGTACGATAAGCAGACATTGCTTGGTCGCCTTCTTCTTGAGCAGCATAAGCATTCCCATAACCAATCCAAGCTGGGGCAAAAGTCCCATCCAAACTTGTTGCTTTGCTGCAAAATAAGATAATTCATGATTCGAATCAATCCATATTGCAATACCAATCAAATATCTCGAGAATAATAAAAATTAACATATATTGTTCCACTTCCATTAGCATACTACTGTGTCCGATTTTTACATGGTTACACCAGGGCACCCTGAACCCATGTTGGGACAATAGTCATTCCTTCGATGAAAGAGATACCGGTTCCTTAAATGCTCAAGTTATATCACACCGAAAAAGGATGAAATGTCTTTAAAAAATCTAAGACATCCTGATTTTCAGCATAAACAAAGCTGGAAATAAGTTACTTATTTAGAAAGTAGACCCTTATCAAAATAAGTACTACAACTTTTTTCATTTTATATGGAAAATAACTTTTCTAAAGATGTTTGGAACGAAAATTTACTTTAAGTTTGACTAACTTCTTTGCTTAGCCACACATGGTCAATTATATCTGTCTTAAATTATTACTGACGAATATATTGTACGCTCTCTGAACATGCACTTCTGCTTGTGTCATAGAACTCCATTAAGTAAGATATTCTGATGTCATATAGCATCACATTTGAACATTACACTGGAGGATGACCAGATTTGCAACTGCATAAAAGTACTATCTTCCAAGGATCCAGAATAGTTAGGCTGCATGCAGTTGCTCATAAGTATAATTCAAACTTGAGCACAAATAAAAATTCAAACTGTTCAACCCAGCAACATCTAAGCTTTTCTAGAACATATTTCAATATTCAGTAGAAGGTAATGGCATGGTTGAATTTATAGAAATGAATACACAACGTATATCTCTGGTGCGAGGTACCCCCTCCCAGTAGGAAAAACTTAAATTCTGGTCACTCAGACAACTATATATTAAAATTCCTTCAAAAACTACTATGAAAGGTTAATGCCTCAAATAAATGTGTAACTGATAAGACGTTTAATTCCAGAGTAGAACACCACTCAAAGATAAATTTGATAGAATCCTCCCTTTACAACCCTTTCTGAAAGGTTAATACCTGAAATAGCGGCGTGATTGATCGTACTTCTTGATGCAGTAATAGTAGCAACCCACAGCAAACCATGACAGAGCCCTGGAAAAACATGTCATAGTGAATCGTTAAGACAAAAAAACTGAAACCTCTCAAGAAATGAAGAATAGGTTTTGAAGGAACTATTTAGCAGTTCCTTTCAAAACTGGAGCATGGAAAATTATGTGTCTCAGAATTGTAAATCAGAACTAAATAATAAATAGGAGAAACATCTAAATGCCCAGTAATCATGTCTTTGTTACTTGATTTAAACAACTGCCACCTGAAGCAAGTTCCCCCAGAAAGCCAGCAAGTAAAATGTCTAGGTATTTTCCCCATAAGATTCTTTCTTCCAGCAATACATTACAGACTTCAATCACATGGTGCGGGTCCAAACACACCAAGAATGCGCGTCGCATACTTTTGACAATTGAACAAGGATAAGGGGATATGTATCCAAACCTTTAGGGTTGATCAAATGCTTGTAGCACATACTTTAAACTGAGTTGAGCATCAACTTTGAAAACATGATATTCATGAGTAATGCTTTGAAAGCATATCCATATATGTGTCGCACAGACACGATACAACTACTTCGAAATGGTTCAAGTTAAGAAAAGAATATATATATCTTCTGTAGCCTCATGTTCACTTGGAACTGGATATTGGGAATCCATTTCTTTGGCATGTGACATACCCAGTGCCCTACTTGTATGGCCAGATCCATGCAGTATAGTTACAGACCTAAATCAGTTTCATCTCAAATCTCATATTTATAAAACCAGTCCTTCTCAACATTAATCCAAGAACTATGAAATTTCTAGCATTTAAAATGTCATGTAACCTCAAAATTAACAAGTGCGACAAGAAATATGTCGGGAGTGGCAATCAATTGACAAATATCTAACAAGATACAATGCACTCACCAGTGAATGGAGATTATGATGCGGACATCACTTATATTATTATCGCACTATTTTACTTTTCTAGTTATTGAACTTGTATTATTGGTTTGGCCCAAGCCCATCATTGGTAGGGTTATTCTTTTATTATTTATATGGTTTTCAGTTGTAATTTCAGTAGACGATGATGAATTAGAATTGAAATATTGTTTGGCTTGCAGCCGTTTTCTCCCTCCCCTCTCTTCCCCTGGTTTCTTCTCCTCTTCTCCCTTATCTCTGTTTCTCCTCCCCGTTCCTTCTTCTTCTCCCCTAGTCTCACAACTTCTTCCTGGCTACTTCTTCTTATTGGAATCCCTCAATCTATCCCACATCAAAGTGGGATCAGAGCCGAATCTTGAGTACTTTCTTTTTACAATCCAAAGTCTCTTCTTTTCTCCCAAATCTCGTTGGAACAGCACAATTGAAAGAGGTTCAGCATAAGAAACGGCAATTTTTTTTCATTTTGTTCTCTGCCCTTGTTGAAGAAAAAAAATCGTGCTATTGTTCACAAGTACTGTTCACATTCAGGATTCCAAATTTTTTATTTTCTTTCTGTAAAAAAAAAAAAAAAATCATGCTACTGTTCACGGGTACTGTTCACACTCGGGATTCCAAATTTTTTATTTTCTTTCTGTAGTATTAAAAAAAAAAAGTATTTTCTAACATTGTTTTGCAGATACCTCTCCCTATTCTGTTGATCAATCCAGTCACTTCAATGAACAAAAAGGGGAGTTACCATTCTATTTATCTTTGGTACATTACTGTTTATCTTAGAAATTGCATCAATTAAATTTTTGTGCTGCTGCTGATCTAGTTGTTTATCTAAATTCACGTAATTGGACTCATTCACTTCGATAAGTTCCACTTTTACCTCACTTATTTTACGTGATTAGAGTTTGACTAGTATTTGACCCTTACTTTGCTATTTTACTTATACCAACAGTATTAGCTTGTTTTGGATTTTAATCCCAAAATTTAAATTTTAAAAAAAATAGCTCAAATTTTCATTTTCCATTACTTGCACTTTTTGTTCGTTGATCCCTCTATTGCATGTCATTAAGTTGCTATTGCAGTGCATGTAGTTACATATTGGTCATCTTGTCACTTCTAACTCCGGTACCTTAAACATGGACCCCTCACAGTTCGATGCACTCACCCGACAAATAGCGGCTATTCAAACTCAAATGACCACTACTCTTAAAGAGAGTAAGGCTCTATCTGTTAGTTTGAAAAAATTTAAACACATCCCTCATTCAATTGATGTTGATAATTCTAAGGTGTCCCATAATAGACAACATCGTCGACAAGGGAATCAAAAATACTTTCAACCCGATCATAAGGATAGGGATAGGAATAGGGATCAAATTCGTGAGCGAGAACGAGATAATTTTGAAATTCTTACTCAATGGAATGCCCTTAAACAAGGAAATCAATTAGTGAGTGAGTATATCGCGCAATTTGAGGAATTTCGAACCAAATGTCATTTAATTGAGGATGAGAGTACGACTTTGAGTAGGTTTAGCCAAGGTCTGAGAGATGATCTTAATCGCGAGCTTTTCCTTCGAGGTGTCACTACTCTTGATCACGCTTACTCTTTAACTCGAGATTATGAGTTGATTATTAGTACTCCATATGAAAAGCGTGGTCATCGTCGTTCACCCATCTCATTAGCGTCGCCTTATCACAAGTCTATCATAAAACCGTCTCCGTCTAATGTTCCTCCTATTTGGAAAAATAATTGTAAAGATCGTGATAGTCCAAGATCTTTTTCTCCATGTAGAAAGCATATTGATAATCATCATTCGGTGTCATTGGCTCCACTTCCTCCCGTTAAGTCCCTTCTAGGACCTCCCCCGTATGATGTTCCTCCAATTTTGAAAAAATAAGGGTGAAAATTTTTATAATCATCATTTAATTTCATTGGCTCCACCTCCTCCCGTTAAGTCCCTTCTAGGGCCTCTCTCTTCTAATAGTTCTCCAATCTTAGAAAATCAGGGTAGAATTTCTGAAGCTCCAAGGTCTTCTTCTCACTTGTTGTGCGTCAACTGTAAAGACTTTGGTTACATTTCTTCTAAATGTCCTAATCGAACCTTAGTCATGGAAAAACGAAAGAATGTAATAGAGGAGCCGTTTGAAGATCTAGTCTATGAACCTAAACTTGAGATTTTGATGACTTGGATGATAGTGAGGACACTTCCTTAGGTGGAATCCAGACTCTTCACGAGACTTTGGATACTATACCCCTTATCTCCGACAATACTCGATCACATGTTATATGTCATACCCTTACCCAAGTTAAAGAGCTTGATGATGTCACCAGTCACCCTTGAAAAATCCAGTCGCCTGTGGTTAACACTAAGGTAAAATTATCCACCACTGACCAACCTCAAATTGATGGTCAAAACAAAAGTGCTAACCTAAATCCTGACAATTTATTACAGTCTCTAGTCCAGAAAAATCTTGAAAATTGGGACTTGATCCCTCCAACAGTTCAAATTGCATATAATGATCCTGTGAACTGGTCTTTAGGTCTAAAACCCTTTGAAGTTATTCTTGGTTGTGAACCTTTGAAACCTCTAGACCTTATTCCCATGCACCCACATGCTTGTGTGTCTATGTCAGTTGAGGTAGTTGTATCACATTTTCATAGCTTGTATATTGAGATCAATAAACAATTTGAAGCAAGTAAAGCATTATATAAACCTCAAGTTGATTGGCATAGACAACACTTTGAATTTAATATTGGGGATTATGTTATATTGCAAGCGTGGAATGTTAGTCTTTTAAAAATTTCAAAGCATGTTGGTCAAAATACCTATGTCAATGATCTTTTATAACATTATGACCATCACCCTATTTTATTTGTTAAGGACTTCGATACTTACAATGGCTATTTTAACACTTTTGTTGATCATTTTATATCTCTACCTGAGAACTCCCACACAAATCTTTTGCTATGTCTATTTGAATACCACCTGTCGCAACACACAAAGATAAAATTGATGTAATTTTAGATGAACAGGTTGTGTTAACCATTGATGGAGAGAATCGGTGCTTCTTTAATTGTTGGGTAGATTAACGTTCTTATTGTGCTCCACATTATGCGCAATCATGTGAAGATTTTGGAGATGAGTTGTAGGAGTACTTGTTATTTGGAGTCCAATGTCGGTACTTGATTAAAATGAGGGATTGTCCGCCTTGGTCGGATCATATTCTTGAGGACAAGTTGCCATTTGCATTGTTATCAACCGTAGAGTTCAGATATTTGGTTCTTCAAAAAGATCGTCCACCGTGGTATGAGTTCAGACATTGAAGGTTGACGGTAGCTCTTTGTCATTTGTTCACTCGACAGAGTCGAATTTTTCTTCCACCCCGGGAGAATTGATGCGGACATCACTTATATTATTATCGCACTATTTTACTTTTTCTAGTTATTGGGCTTGTATTATTGGTTTGGCCCAAACCCATCATTGGTAGGGTTATGCTTTTATTATTTATATGATTTTCAGTTGTAATTTCAGTAGACGATGATGAATTAGAATTGAAATATTGTTTGGCTTGCAACCGTTTTCTCCCTCACCTCTCTTCCCCTGGTTTCTTCTCCTAATCTCCCTTCTCTCTGTTTCTCCTCCCCGTTCCTTCTTCTTCTCCCCAGTCTCACAACTTCTTCCTGACTACTTCTTCTTATTGGAATCCCTCAATCTATCCTACATCAAATTAGCTTTGAGATTTAAGGGATTTTTTTGGACAAATTTATATACGAACGCCGCTTTATTTTATTTCCAAAAGAATTCAAAGATTTTACAATAGCTATCCTGGTGTTTCAAAAAATTATTGAGCTTAGATGACTAATCAAGAGGATAGCTACATGTTCCATTCTCTTGATTAGATCATAACGCACTTGTGTTCTATTGTCAACTACATTAGATATCCTTAATTTAAACAGTTTATAAATATTGTTAGGAGTGCAAAAAATAGGTTTAAACCTAACTGTTGGCATTAATTACCAGGGTTGCTTGTGTCAAATCAGAACATAATGCCCTTGCAGGACTCGGCCGAAACCTTTTTACCATGGGCACTGCAGCACTAGATGTCACCTCAACAATCCATCATTAGCAATATAGTTTAGGCAGAGTGGTGATAGTTTAGGTCATACACTCCCCTCCACAGTGAAACTCAGAGCAAATTTAGAAAATAGATAAGAGCAAAAACACAACATTATTTCTCAAGATTAACGATGGTTGTTAAAATAAATAATACAAAAATATAGATGCATACTCACTTTTGAGGATAGTCCTTGACTAAATTACATGCCATGAGATAGAGCTCGTTAGAATGCCCAAGCTCCATAGCTGCTGCTAAATGCACCAAAGTACATTTTAGGTGGAAAGGATCCTTCTCAAGCAATCTGAATTAAATCACGTGTAGTGACACAAGTGACATTAGTCAAGAAATAGAAGTAAATGCATCATTCTGTTCAAACAAAATTACCAACCCACATTGACGTTAGTTCAAAGCATTTCTGATATTCACCACACTGATGGTAGTACTCAGCTTTGCAGGCTAAAAGATCAGTATTGTTCTTCAATGTATGTTCCTGTTCTAGTTCTCTGAACTTGGCTTCTACAACATATTCTTTATCGTACTGGACAAGATGACAAGAGTACATTCTTAATTATCAGAAGTAAACAGAATGAAATTAGATACATACAAATGCATATACACCTAGAAGGGGACAGCATAGTCAACAATCTTTTCATGAAAAACAGTTTCTCTCCAAGGACCCCAACCTGTTTTGTTTTTTGCAAGCTTCGTCCCCAATTTTTCATGTTTCCAGCAAGTCAGTCCCCAATGGACAGTTTTCATCCAATTGACCATTAAAAAGGTATGTGACTTTCACATGTCCAACATGTCTAACTTTTTCAAGTGTAATATAGGTAAACACTTAACTGTCATGAAAACATAAATAGAAAGGAATGGAAAGGGAAAAGATATGGGCAAAAAAAAAATATTGTAAACTGTCCAACCCTCGACCTCCCCCACCATCAAGCCCCCAGCACGTTCCTTCACTCCCACCTACTTCCATCTTTTTCATAGTCAAGTCGATGGAAACCATCCATCCGATGAGGACCAACATGTTACACGGAAAAAAAAGTGGGGGACCACCACTGCTATTTTCCCAAAATTGAAACTAAATTGTAATCTGACGTATGCTAGAATTGGAAACTATACTTACTTTCTTTACCAGACATGAGTAGAACGAAGAGAGCCAGCCATCTTCAGGGCTGAATTGCAATGTTGATAGTAGACTTGTCTCTGAAATTTATTGGCAAATTGAATTAAAATAAAACTTTATCTAGTTATACAAAGGGAAATTCAAGTGCATTTAGTGCAGAGTAACATTAACCTACGGTGTTCAACCAAAGATCCATGTATCGCAAAATAGAAAACAAATATTACAAACCGTTACACGGTTAAACATCCACTTTATGTTTAACTTTGCCATAGCTAAGAATCACATAAAACAAAGTTAAGAAGTTTGACAAGTTCTCTCGCCTTCTTCACAGGTGAGCATGTGACCCTCTATAAGACATTCCAGGGCCTGAAACGAGAAGGGAAAAAAGTGGTATTAGGGTCAATGAGATCAACAATAGTAATAAAGAAAGTCACATTGCAACAAAAAACTTAAACATGTAATAAATTGTGAAAAACGAAAATAGTTAACAGGTCAGTTCTAAAGAAAATAAGTGTCAACTATTATCAACTTCACAAAAAGAATCCAATAATACTAATGAGAATCACCTCAACAGAATGACTCACATACCTCGTAACATAGAGGATCGGCCTTGATGGCAGCTTTGTACCTGTATGTTCATGAAAAAGGTAGAAAGATGATATCTTTCAGCGACCAAAACATGGTCATCAACTTGACAACAACATAAAAGAAAGGCGCAGAACAAAGAGAGGGTAAAATATTAAGACTCGGATAGAATAAAACTAAAGATTCATGTACGCAAACTTGAATATTCAATTCAGTAGTTTTAATTATGCAGAAACCATTGTGATTCGATGAAAAAGTCAAATATCACAATACCAATTCTTAAAATACGCTAGACTTTAGCAACAATTTAATAAGGCCAAAGAGGTTAGAAACAGAAGAAACCAAAAATGGGGGCCGGAGAGAATACCTAAAGAGACGAAGAACAAATGGATATTCTCTAAATCCACCATTTTTAATGAATACAAAGGTTTATTGAATTGATTTTGGAAGAGACCTTTCTGTATTACGGTAATAACAAGAAAAACACAGAGCATCTTGTTTACCATAACGTCCCACCATAGATGCCTCATAAGTCATAATAGCCTTGATCTATTACGCTCCACAATAAATAGTTATTTATCGGTTCAGCAATTGATGGGAATAAAAAACACCAAAAACTTCATATGTCATAACATTTATCCGATACCATGAAACACTTTCACGTCTAATTACATCACGATGTCAAAGTGCTAAACTTTTATTCACCAGTTACCAGGGTCAACTTAGTTGTGACCTTATTTAGTTTTGAGAACCAAACTATTTATTAACTTCTCCTATTTCAAATATCTTTAGTTTTTTATGTAATGCCATCATCAGAAACACATTTTTTAATGACCCATAAAAGTGTTATTCTAGCACAGTAGATACTTGCAATAACTTCTTTTGTCCCTTCTTGGGAAAAGTGATACTTTTATTATTATGTATCATCTTAAATATGTACTATATAATCAACCAGGTTTTAAAATTCTTAAAGACGTGTTCTCTATTTTCCATGTTCACCGGGCTACATCATGGCCAGAAACTAGAAAGTTATAAATAAAGATAATATAACGATAATAAGAAACTAAATTATGCACCATAGTCGAGCCTGTACACGATTTTCCAGTGCTTCATATGCCTTGCCTCTTAAAAAGTATATTGCTGACAAAATCTGTCACATGATGTAAAAATTATTTCACGTCAATGCTTCTCTAACGTGGAGAAAAAGTTACTGAACGTGTGCTGGAGAAAAGGAAAACACTTACATTGATTTCACGATCTTCACCATCTTTATCCAGATACATGCTGCCATAATCCTTTGTATCAGTAATGTTACCTTGTTCATCCACTTTAGCAGGACCAAGCATTGAAAGGCATTGATCCCACTCCTTCAGTTCCTCCTGATAAATAGATGAAATTTTCCATGTAATGAAATGTATCCAAAGGAAGCTGTATATTTATCATATAAGCAGAGCAGTCATGTATATATAAACTTTCATTTTGACATGCAGGAAACTGATGGAACTATCGAGTTTAGTCAAGGTTTAGGTAGAACGTGTCATGTAAAGAATTTTCAGAATAGTATACACCCGATGGCGTTCTAATCCTAAGGAATTTTTCCAAAAAATAATAATAATAATATATATAATTTCTTCTTATGGAAATTTCCTCACCACGTTCATATGGAATTAAAAAAAAATGAAAACAGAAAAAAAGCGGACAAAATCTGAAAATCCTCAACTTCAAAAATAAAATCCTAAATCTTGAGTAGTTCAGGGAATTCTCGATAGATCTTTAAGGAGTGGCTTGAGTAAATAAATTCCAGATTAACTGATTAGATGTTTCAGCAACCAATTGACAAGCATTCCCACGAATGAAACTCGAGAAGGAAAAATGAAGAAGCTCAAAAAACGCCAAGCAGTTAGTACACAGGCGCGTAACATTAAGATACGATATCGTGCATTTGTATCGGTGGTGGAGAAGTGAGGAAATTAAGAACTTACTAGGCATTTGGCTGCGAGGTAGCGGAATCGAAGGTCGCGGAGGACAATCTGGGAGGCATTAAGGAGGTGGAAGGCGCGGCGGTAGTGGCGGCCGAGGTAGAGTGCCTGTGCTTGCATATATATGTCGGCGGGATCGGACGTGATGGCTGCCACCTTGTCGGCGAAGAAAATCGCCGACGAGTACAAATGCTTGCCGACGCAATCCCTCACCACCCCTCTCAGCTTCTCTATTTGCTCTTCCTTCATGTCTCCGCTAACAGCCTGAATTTGACAGCTCCGAAACCGATTTGCAGACAGCTGAGGGTTTGGGACTGGAGAATTTTTAGAACGAGAGTTCAGATAGTGAAAAGAGCGGGGATTTTGCACAAATTGTGTGAATGGAGGTGTGGGTTCCGAATTGAATTTTGGGCAGGGAAATATCTAAAAAGGCCTTTGCATCAATTTATCTATCTAAAATACCCTTCTTTTTTAATATTGTATAGTAAGACACTATAATATAATATAGAAATCTTCTATTTTAATCCTTAGAATTAAATATTACTTGAATTTTAATAGATTTATTGTTTATAGTTCTTTTTAGATTTATTTGATTCATTTGATTTTTGTTCGCTCAGAGTAACACCTTCTAATTGGTATTAGAGCCATGAACAATGAGAAAACTCATAACAAATAAATTACCTAAAGAAGTAAAAATCCTTAGATATAAGTTAACATTTAGATTTTATTTAAAACTAATAAATAACAGATTAAGTGCTAGACATTTAAAAGAATATTTAGGTTATACATCTCTAAAACAATAATGATTGATTGTCATAATTGTAATACACAAATACTTATATTCATATCTGAATAAGAGCCAGAGAGATCGTGAAAATTAAAATAAGTAAAATAAATAATTATTGATATTTAGAAGAAGAAAGAGGAAGTTATATATTTTTAAAATATATTCGTAATAAATTGAAAATAATAACATTAACAATAATTAAAGAACTACCAGAGAAATAAAAGAAAAAATATTAGAAAAATTAATAATAGGATCAATAGAAGATAAATATATATATATATATATATATATATGAAAAATTGTTAAAGCATATGAAAAGGAAGAAATTAATTTATATTATAAAGATAAATATGAGTACAAGTAATAATACAGATTTGAAATTGAATAAATTACTTATAAAAATGGAAAAAATATTAGGAAAAATACAATATATAATGTTAATGCCGAAAGGAATAAGAGTATCAAATAAAAGACAGTTAATAAAATTAAAATGTGAAAGATTAAGATTTGAGAGTAAATATTTTAATATAGTAAAAGGAAAATTAGTAAATACAGATATAGCTAATAGATGATTTAGAATAATAATATATAAAAAAGAAGACAAAAAATGCAAATTAACTTATATATTAGAAAGATGATTAGAAAATTTTAATATGTCAATTAGTGAATATATGGAAGAATTAAATCGTTAATAAAAATGTTAATAAATGATGTACAGGATTTAAAAAATGAAGTAAAACAAACAAGAAACGATATAAATATATTAAAAATTGAAATTTGAGAAATAAAAGAAAATAATAAAAATAAAGAAAAGAAAATAGATAAAAAGTTAATAGAAAAAGAAATGACTTGAATAGGAAAGAAACATATTGAGAAAGCGAATATAGTAATAGAAACATGAAGTGTGGATAATGAATTTAGAAATAATATATTACCTAAAATATTAGATGAACAAGAAGAATCTATAGAAAAAATATTGGGAAAATTAAAAGTAGAAGAAAGAGAAGATAAAGATGAATAAGGAATTAGATTTACTAATAAAAAATTTTGATCAATTAAGTTTAAGTGATATAAGTAAATACCGAGTTTTAATGAATACTGGAGGAGGACGTAATTCAATAGAAACTTCTAAACAAGAATTGCAAAAATCAGATGAAAGTTATGCACGTATGTATAATAAATCATATAGACAATTTTATGATAAAATAAGAAATAGACAACCACCTAAAGGAAATAAATATAGAGACATGTTTGAATTAAATGATAATTATGATAAACCAATTAATAATGGATGAACAAAATTAGATTTAAATTGCAAAAAAATATTAAAAAGTCTTATTAATTTGGGCAGATTCAATAATATTTTTTTTATATAATAAAGATAACACATGGGAAAGTACTGAAAGAATAATAGATTTTTTAATAGCATCATTTGAAGAAGATGTTAGAAATTGGTGGGAATGAATAAGTAATGATTCATAAATATTAATAAAAAAGAAATATACAAACAAAGATAATAAAATCAGATAGACAATGTATAGAAAAGTTAGTAGAATATATTTCAGATGAATTTTTAGGAGAAATTGGATAATAAATGCTGAAGGAGAAGCAATAAGAGAAAAAGATAATTCTATAATTAAATTAATAAATTTAACAATATGTGATATGTGTAAAATTAAAGAATATACTTGTGAATTTAAAAATTATTATTATGTTCAGTTCTATAGTAATGAAGATCAAGAAGTATACTAAGACTTGTACTATAATAAGTAACCAGACTCGTGGGGAATATATTTTAAAATAGAATTTGAAAAATATGTTAGAGATAATATTGAAATACCTAGAACTTTAAGTTCAATAATAAAAATTTTATTTGAAAGACTTGCATATATATGTCAACAAAGACAATTTTTTAAAAAATCAGAAAAATTAACTAAAATATGTTGTGAAAATATGAAAGAACCTATACAATGGGGATCTAATCCTGAAAAAATGATTTATAAAAATAAAATTTTTAAAAATTTAGAAATTTTAATAAAAAATACATAAAATTTAGAAGAAGATATTATAAAAGAAAAAATAACTCATATGGTCAACAGAAGAATAAAATTTATAAGAAAAAGAAAAGCCGATGTAAATGTTGAAATTGTGGGGAAATATGTCATATAAGCCCTGATTGTGATAAAAAAGAAAGTTAAAATATTACAAAAAAAATATTTGGAAATAAAAGATGAATTAAGTGAAATATCGGATATTGAACAATATTATAATCAAGAAGCATATATAAGGGAAACAGATGAATCTGAATCTGAATAAGGAAATAGAAAATAATAATATAAATATACAAAAATATGAAGGAATAGAATGTTATGGATTAAAAGTAACATTTGATAATAATAAATTTAAGAAATTGTAAAAATTATCCTTAGATTTAAATGATAGCAATAAATGAATATCATAAAATTGAGAAAACTAGAGATGTAAAAACAATATATGGAAATCATAAATTAAATATTTTAACAAAAAATACAGTTGAATAACTATTAACAAAAGTTAGCAAAAAATAAAGTGAAAAAATCAAATATATTTATTTAGAAGGAATACAAATAATGTTTAAATCATTATTTAGAGAAGTAATAGATTCACCCTTAACTATAATCTTACATGATGGAAGAATAATGAATTTAAAAAATAGTCATTTAGGAACAATAGAAGGAAATTTGGCATATCAAAAAATAATGTTTACATGCTACCTAAAATATTGTGCATCATTGAAAGATAAAAATTTTAATGAAATTTTAGGATTACATTTTAAATTATTTAGAGATGATATTATGCAACCAGGTGATCAAATTACGACAATAGGATATAGAGCTTTATATGCATTTACCAATTCTAATTATGGAAATGTTTATTCCAATAAACCATACGTTGAAGTACATAAAGAATGTAAGGATATTACATTTTAAGTTATATAGAAATGATATTATGCAACCAGGTGATCAAATTACGACTATAGGATATAGAGCTTTATATACATTTACCAATTCTAATTATGAAAATGTTTATTCCAATAAACCATACATTGAAGTACATAAAGAATGTAAAGATATTAGTAAAATAATAGAACCAAATAAACAAATAAGTTTAATTTCGGAAGAATATGAATTTAGTATAACAAGAAATAAACCTGAAATAACAGAATTAAATGAAAGAGAATGTTCTAATAATATATTATTTAAGGATGAAAAATTAATTAAAAGATCAAAAGGTCTTAGAATACCTAATAAAAATCAGTTAGAAGAATTTAATAATATAAAAGAAGTAAAACTATATAAGAATGCTGGAAATATGAAAATAGAAAGAGAATATTATAATGGAAGAGAATATATAAATGGACCAAATACACTAATAGATACAGGAGCTAGTGAATATTCATATAGTTTCAATCAGAAATAAATGTCTAAAAACTCATAAAACTGATCCATATAAATATGTAAATTTTGTTGGACAAATACGTATTTCAGAGTTAGAAGTTAAAGTACCAATAAAAATAGGGGAATAAATATTTTAGTCCCATGTTATATAGATAAAAGTGTGGATATAAATTCTCGTATACTTTTAGGAATGAGTTTTCTAAATGAATTAGAAGATTATAGTATAAAAAGAAAATGATTATATATAGTCCATAATGGACTAACTATATTGTGTAAAAAAAACTAAATGAATAATCGGATAAGTTTTTCATTGGCTGTATATATACAAGTTACTATTGTAGAAACAAATATAACAACTTGTGCCTTAATAGACACATGGAGTGATATAACAATATTTAAAAGTTTTTTTTATAAAATCATGGAATAATAATAGTAATATAAAAATAATTGGAGTCACAGGAGAAAGTACCCAGATAACAAGTAGTGCTGATAAAGTTAGTGTAATTCTAGGAAGTAAACAAGTTACAATAAATAAAATATATAAATATGATAAATTAGAGTATGATATATTATTAGGAACTGACTTTATACAACAATTTCAATATTATAAATAAAATAATTATATGATAATGCTACAAACACCTTATGGAGACTTATTAAAAATTTCACGAGAAATAAAACTTTATAGAATTCAGTCAGCCCAGCGTGGTGATAAATTGGAGAAAAAACTAATCATGTTTAGAGGGTGTTTGAGCCACATTATTTTGGTAATAGTGCATTTTTGAATAGTGTATTGATGAAAAATGTGTAGTTAAAAAATAAGGAAAAGTTTTTTATTTGCGTATAATATTATTTTATTGAAAATGTGTGGTTGAAATGATGTCAAATCACTATTTAAGAATATATTTTTTGAAATAATGTAGCTCAAACGGGCCATTAATGAAATAAAAAAATATTATATAAAAAAGTTCTAAAAACGGGAACAGAAATAAGTGTAGAAAAAATTATTAAATAATTAGAAAAACTTATGGAGAAAATTAATTATTATTTTGGAAACCACATCACCCTAAAACAAAAATAGAATTAACAGAAAATATTATAATAAGAGTTAGACCAATGATGTATACTATAGAAGATATACAAGAATTCAAAAATCAAATAAAAGAATTGTTAGAATAGAAACTTATTAGAC